GATGCCAGTTAATGTCAGGAGGAAAATCACTACGCTTTGCGAATGTATGCAGAACGGAAAAAGTGAAAAACTTAAATTTTAAACGTTCAGAAGCATTTTTATGCAAAACCAATGTGATATTCGGAATATACGAAAAAAACTGCATCGAATGATATATAATTCGACGCGTTTTGAAAAAAAAAGCTTCGTTCTAAATTTTAGGCAAAACACCTGAAGGGGATGGACCTCAGGCAAAAATTTCGACAGGAACTTTTTGTCTGCCTTCAAGATGAAACTTAGGTGAACACCGTTTCTCGACATGCCCCATCCAAATATCGCGGTCTCCCGGCTTGAATCGTTGCGAGGAAAAAGCAGGTAGTTTTCATATGCTCTAGTTTAATTGCATTTTAATCAATCAGTTATACCTGGTGTCTCATAAATATCTTGACAGTTTTAGCCTATTTTAAGCCAAAACTGTAAAGATATATATGAGACACCCTGTATTCCAATGAATTCTGTATAAATAGTTAATCCATCTAGAAGGAATCTTTTTCTCACTCGATCTGTCCCAAGTAGATGTTTTGCTGAATGAGTTTATCTTTTTATCTAACAGGAAAAAAAACATTTGAATCTTTGCTAACAAAATGTGAATTTCCAGATATTTTTTCGTTAGTTTGTTTACAAATGTTTCTTTATGCTGAATTGTTGCTAAAGTTTTCCATAATGTACGTAGTATGCACATGCTCCCATATCTTTTGCTTCCTACGCGTCTTTGACATATTGCAGTTCAGTTCAATTTTTTAGTTTCAACCTGCTTAATACAGAGTTCTTTGCGAAACGAATAATACTTATTAATAAGTAAAGATACGACAGAATAAAATACTTTCACAAAAAAGTTAATTATAAATCTTAGTTACACATTATATAAAATCATTAAAAACTATGACCAAAACAAAAGGCTTATGCACTTTTTTCTCTTACATAAAATTAAAGCCTTCAGCGAGCTAAATGCGCAATAGCATTTAAATTCTTCTTTTCAAAAATCCTGCGGATTGTATCAAGAATCAGTCTACGATCCTGATGAAAATTCAAATACCGTTCAAAGATCGCAAAGCCTTATCAGAAAATGCTAACGCTTCGTCACATTTACTTTGCGAATAATAAACTCTTGCAAGATTGTTTAGGCACATCGCGTAGTCTATTGTTCTTATAATATTTTTATCTTGGAATATTGTACATGCTCGCAATCCATATTTAATGGCCTGTGTAAGATTACCAGTTTCCCATTCAAATTCACAAATGCAATCGTAAATCACAGCAACATCAGGATCTGTAGCTGAACATAGTTGACACTTTTGTCTATCAAAAATTCGAAAAATTCCCGAAAAAAAACACCCAAATCCGGAATTCGGTTAAAAATTTCGGACGAACTTACAATCCTAATGTAAAATCAAGAATCTGGTCGACCATAGTTAAACTTTTATTATAAGATTCGCGTGCAAGTTTATACTTGTCAGTGTCATAATAAATCTCCTCCGTGATACGAAGAGCCATGGCAATATCATGATGTGGCTTATTCTCACCCAAGATTTTTCTGGGCATTTCTAAAGCATTCTGACATAGGTTCATTGCCTTCTCAAAATTATTCATCTTCCTGTATACATCTGCCATATTACACAAACATGCTGCAAATTGAAGACTAACATGATTTGTCGAAATCCAGTCAAGGCTTTCTCATAATATTCAATTGTTACATCATATGAGTCTTGACTGTAATGCGTTGTTCCAATATTCAGCAGTGCATGAGTACTATCATGATGACCAACCAATAACGTCTTTTCGTAAATGCACAGTCCCTCCATATAAAGTTCGTGGGCTTTTTCATGTTCACCTCTTGTATCATAAACACATGCAATGTTGTTCAACGTTTCTGCATATGAATGACGTAGCTGACCAGTAGTTTTGTAAATTACAAGAGCTTTTTCATAATATTCAAGGCCTGACTCGCCATCTTCTAGCCCTTGATCGTATAATATCCCAATATTATTATATATTCTAGCCTGTAAAAATTCGTCTGTAATCAGGTTTAAACTCCTTGAAAAAGATTTGAGTGCTTCGTTAAAACTACATTTTCGTTCTAATAATGTGCCAGTATTAATGTGCATAAGGGATTTAACCAGATTACTGTCATGGTCAAGTTTTAATGCACGTTCATAATAATGAAGAGCTGTCTCCAAATCTTCTTTGTAAAAATAGACAGCATCAATATTATTCAGAAGATTAGCGCTGTCCTTTGGATTTTGTAATACCGGACACTGACGGATATAATCTATTGCCTGATCATACTGTCCCATATGTATAAGCAAGGTACCAAACGTAAGGGTTTGATTTCTGCCATAAAAGTTTTTAGACTATTGAAAATAGTCTTGCAGAATTTTTGAACCTTCATCTGTAGCCTCTAAATCGACTGCGCAACACTCTTTATCTTCAATTATTTCGTTTCTAGCTTTCTTTTAACTTTAAAACGTGAACTGAGAGAAAACAAAACCTCTTCTTCGTCTTTTATACAACTGCGATGACCAACCGATACATAATCAATCGTCTTCGTACCAGTGGAGTTTACTTTTATCCGGAACAAAATATTGTCATAATAACTAAGTACAGTGTTAGGGCTAAAAGTTGCACTTAAAAATCCATTAACAGACACAACAATATGCTCATTACTTTTTAATAATTCTAAAGCTTGAAAAAATATTTTACGTCCAGAATAAAGAAAATTTTCATCATTCCATTCACTTTTCGTATCCAAACATTCTGCGTGAAGTTGCGCCAACAAATGACCTATATATGCACGAAATTTATGCAATGTACGGTGGTTTTCAGTTTTTGAGGCAGCATTAAGGGCCCCTCTCAGAAATGACGATTCTCGGATTTTGAGATAAGCACATACAAAGATAGCCTGAAGTGTCTACGTTCAGAATACGTATGATTCGATACCATATTAATGGTTTTTGAGGTTTTCTGGAGACCCCCTGTACAAAAACTTACTATTTTATTTCGAACTGACGCACTGATGCTATGCAAGTGATTTTTGTACAAAACGAATACCTAATGGTGCTGAGTACAATGCATGGGTGAACAAGCTTAGAGATCAGAAGCGGCCGAACCATGGGGGCTGTCGGTGCTTCGGCACTCACAGATTTTGAAATTTTCATTTTCTTCCAACAGAAACTATGTTTTTCTTTCCGTTCTTGTCCTTGAGCATCCACAGTTTCGAAATCATTCGCACACCTCTGATCTTTATTATCTTCATTTAAAATTTCTTACTCTTCTTTTGTTCTGTAAGATAGTAGAATAGGTGCTAACAAACCCAATGTAATCATAGATTTAATAGAGATATTTTTAGTTTTGACGACAATGTTGAATTCGATAAATCTAATTTGTTATAGTAAATCAGAGGCGGCAGAACCACTAGGCTGGGTTAGGCTTAAGCCTTACCCGGATTTGGCTCTGTTAGGCTGAGCCTTATCCCATTTTGATGTAGAATTTTGAATTTAGCACTATGTTATTTAGATAATACTTGGCTATACTGACAGAAAGGCCTCATTTATCTGAATAAAAGACCAAAAGACGCTTGGCTGCGTGTATTAAACTCCGCTTTTTTTCAGTGATCTTAAACGCAGGGGCTAACAAGAGATATGTGCAGTGAGGACAGAGGACTGAATCAGGATAAAATGTTAACTTTTGGTATCAGAAACGCCAAGAAACCTCTAAATATACATTGTCTTTTGTTCAAAATAGCGTAGTGATCCTTTAATCATATAGATATCAGATATGGACTCAAATTTTTGAGTTCAGTCCAGTCCATGAACTAAAAAAGTCTAGTCCAGTCCGAGTTCATGAAAAACAATCTTTTTAGTCCAGTCCAGTCCAGTCCAGTCCGAGTCCATTAGATTGAGTAAATAGTCCAATGGACTTTGCACACTTCTGTATGCTCTGATAAAAAATAAGTATTAAAAATTATATAAAGGGTGGCCCAGAAGTCCTGTCTCATTCACTATTTTGTCAATATCTGAGTCAAGGTTGATCGTCAAGTGTCAATCTTTTTTAAAAGAAGCCTCATTCAGCTCTCTACACAAAACATATTGAACGTTTTCTTATATACTATAACAATAGAAAAATATAAAGGAAACACGGGAAAGCTTCAATATCGATTGCTTTCAAACCGAAAAAACAAGTTTTTCAATGTGAGTCACTTATATTTTGCGATATGAAAAACGAGAAAATGGCCATTTTGTGGTTCACGAAAAGTTCAATCAACTGGCTATATTTAAGACTCTTCATAGGCTCAAACGATCGCGGGAGCTTTTTTTCTTTTAGGGATTTTGCCCCAAATCATCATTTTCTAACCGCAGTTTTGTGACACTTAGGCAAATTTGTGTGATTTGGCCCAAATCACATATTATAACTTTAGATCTGGTTTATGTTGAAGTAAAATGGTTTTTCTGTTTCATCCGAACAGAGAAGTCGAAATAAAATAAAAATAAAATCAATAAAATCAATTTATCTAGCAATATGCATAAGTGATGACCAAAGCTTTCATTTTTCCAACTATTTACACAGACGAATACTTTACACTGACGCACCCAATTCATCCATTTATTGCCGACATTGCATCAAAAGATGGTCCAATTTTATCTTCTTTCTCTCCCTAATCCACCTTAGCAACCGGGGTCAAGCGTCATTGGGCATGTTTCCATAACAAACACACGTGTACATTAATGGTTCTCATGCCACCAACACTTGTAGCAACGCTGCCAAAGACTCACCCATTCTCCTTGCTTATACGAAATATGTGTGCCATATTTTAGCCCAAAAGGGGCTGCGCTGACAGCTTTTTCCAAATACTCAACAACACTTCGACCAGCTGGGTCTCCCATTCGTCCTGCTAGATCTTTTCCAGATGAGAGGACTGACATAAAATCAATTTATGTAGCCATATGTATAAATGATGACCAAAGCTTTCATTTTTCCAACTATTTTACACAGACGAATACTTTACACTGACGCACTCAATTCATCCATTTATTGCCGACATTGCATCAAAAGATGGTCCAATATTATCTTCTTTCTCTCCCTTTCATCCCTCCTTCGTGTATACATACTTGTTGTTTTCGTCAATAAAGATGAAGTGAATCGAAGGAATTGGTTAGACTGAGTGCGCCGGTGTGAAGTGCTCGCCTGTGACCGGCAGTTCTACAAACGACTGGTACAATCTCAAACCGGGCGAAAATCGTATATGAAAATATCTACATATTTTGTTCTGGTATTGGGTTCAATACTTTTTAATTGCTTTTGGAATGTCTGTATCAACATTTCAGGTAATGTTAGTTGTGACATTACAAAGAAATCCTAGACAAATGTGCGTCCGTGCACAGTCAAAATAATGCGAAACACTGGTGTGCGTCGGGACCAAGCAAGAAGTGTTGATATAATAAAATTAAGTTAAAAATATCATGTACTCTGCTCTGTTTTATGTATTTTTGCACCAGTTACCCCTTGAGACTTGATGTTTCAAAAACTAAAAAAACATTGAAGATATGTATACGATGAAAAATAACTTCCTTCTATAGCAAAGCATATGAAATATCACTGGCAGTTATCCTCATTCATTGTGGATACTTTTTATGTTCAATACATGTTCACCTGATAAGAATTATTCGTTAACAACCAAACTAGTCATACAATCATACATACGTACAAATTATGGACAGTAATCAACGACAGATAACACTGTCTATGAACAGATTACGTCGACATCGGCAAGTCTATCTGAATAAAATGATAATTTGTACGTATAGAATGAAAATCGAACTACTTGTACCGAACGGTTGCGACCGGAAAAGAAAGCTTTTATTTCTCGTTCTTCTGTTTTCTGATGTTTACTTTTACTACGCGCTGAAGTTCGTTTATTCCATTTAGACAACTAATGCATTATGTTTCTCTTCCAACTGAGACGACAAAAAACTCAATACTCGACTACACCGAATGTTTACTCATGATTTTTGTCAGCAAGTAAAAGATAGTTGGAAAAAACGAAAGCTTTGGTCATCACTTATACATATTGCTACATAAATTGATTTTATGTCAGTCCTCTCATCTGGAAAAGATCTAGCAGGACGAATGGGAGACCCAACTGGTCGAAGTGTTGTTGAGTATTTGGAAAAAGCTGTCAGCGCAGCCCCTTTTGGGCTAAAATATGGCACACACATATTTCGTATAAGCAAGGAGAATGGGTGAGTCTTTGGCAGCGTTGCTACAAGTGTGCGTGGCATGAGAACCATTAATGTACACGTGTGTTTGTTATGGAAACATGCCCAATGACGCTTGACCCCGGTTGCTAAGGTGGATTAGGAGCGGGTGGATAAGCCTTAAAACTTCGACTTAAAGCTTACACACACTATTTGTCTTTGTAAAATACGCAAGTTCCTCGAAAACAATAGATGAAGCTAACTGAATGATTAGTTTGGTTGTTAAAAAGTAATAGTTATCAGATATGTATTCAACATAAATTTACATATTGATTGAAAAAATCTCCCTGGTTAAAGTAGTAGTATTGAGTTTTTTGTCGTCTGAGTTGGAAGAGAAACATAATGCATTAGTTGTCTAAATGGAATAAACGAACTTCAGCGCGTAGTAAAAGTAAACATCAGAAAACAGAAGAACGAGAAATAAAAGCTTTCTTTTCCGGTCGCAACCGTTCGGTACAAGTAGTTCGATTTTCATTCTATACGTACAAATTATCATTTTATTTAGTATATAAAGAAATGTTCAATATGTTTTGTTTAGAGAACTAAAGTAGGTTTCTTTTAATAGAAAGGATTGAGACTTGGCGATCAAACATGACCGTAATTTTGAGAAAATATTAAATGAGAAAGGACTTCTGGGTCACCTTTATATAGTGTATTTTTAATATTTACTTTTCATCTTCGTTTTTAAGCTTTCGAACAGTCTAATTCATCATCAGAAAAATGCAGAGCATAAACAGAGAGCTATAAAGAGAGATGTTATTTATACACGAAACTTGTACATATAAAGGAACATATGAAACAGTCCGTATGACGGTAGTTAAACTAAAAGGAACACATGATGATACTAACAGACAAGCGAAAGAAATAACAGAATAAAAGTAAATTGTAAAAAGGACTAGAGAATGAGAGATATGGGTTATTTCATTTTTATTTTAGTTCTTTGACTAACACATCCTTGTGGGTGTATTTATAATAGATTTCTGGAACGTGACACTGACGAGGGAACATATCCAACTGTCAAATCGCTTTTCTAACGAAATGCG